TGCTCTTCCAAATGAATGACTTCCTGAGGAACCTCTTTCTGAATTGAAAATCTCAGTCCTGACTTTGCAACATATAGCATTGCATGGCAGAGGCCTTCGGGCTGGGACTGCACTGTTGCCAATTCTCATGAAAGCCCAAAACTAGGAACCAGGAATTAGGATCTAGCACTGGGCCCCTTCATGCATCCATGCGGGGTTTTCCAAAACAAGGGATCCCTTTCTTGCAGTTCCGATAATAAGGATTACAGCATTTTGGGGTCTACATTTTTGGGTCCCCTATTGAGGGGAACTACCATGTTACATTGAAGGAACAAGCCAGGACCCCAGCTGCGTGAACTGCACAGACTGCCGCTCTGCGGGGTCGAGCTCCTTGAAGGAGGGTAGCAGCTCAGTGTAGTGGTCCTCCCAGCCAGTGGTCACAGCGGATGATGAGTCAGAAAACGACTCTTGTTCCAAAACTTCCTTTTGTCGTGTGTCAGCTTTCTGTTGTATCTGCCGCAAGCCTAGACTGCTTGGATCTCAGGACCGCTAAACAGGGATGTGTTCCCACCGCACCACTCCAGAAGTTTGAGGGCGATCAGATTTGTTTCAAGATTTGGTAGTTCTCCAAAATAGAGGGACCCCAATGTTGACCCTAATATACTATAATCCTTATTATGGGGACCCCCAAAAGAGTAGCCCTAATTCTGGGAACCCCCCCCCCTCCATTTCTGCTAATTTTGGAGGATTTCCCCGGGGTGCGGGCCGCGTCCCACCACCCTCTGATGCTTCATTGTTAACCCCAATATTACCCCAGTGTCCATGTCATTTTCCATTTTCTTTTCCATTTGATTCTCCATTCTGGGTGGATAATATCTTATGCTTTTTGTTCAAACCCCAAGTAGAACCCTAAAACCATCAACCCAAAAACCTAAACCCTGTATAACCCATTATAGTAGTTTAGGAGGAGGAGGAGGAGGAGCTCGGCACAGGGGTGGCCTAACTACCGCTTCCGCCTCCGGCTTCTCGGAGGGCCTCCGCAACCGTCATCGCCTCCCTCCGCGACACGGGCCCCAGCAGAGTTTTAGAATAATGCAGCCAAGCTTCAGAACGTCACAAGAATTGCAAGGCAAAGACCAGGATCGGAGAAGGAAGGACGCAAAAACCCCTTGCCTACGCAAAAAACATTGCAGACCCCCCACCCCCTCCCCCCACCCTCACCCGCCGCCACCCTCACCCCCTCCAGCCCCCGCACCCGCCCACCAATGCCGAAGTGATGCCGCCGAAGGCCAAAACATGACATAGGCAGCGAGATCGAAGAAGAAACGACGTAATGTTCCAGACTCGCTCAGCCCATGTACCTGGCAGGCAGGAGGGCGTTCCAGCGACCCGCAGTATGCTGAAGGCTTGAAGCGACACACACCTATGCAGCCGGCTCTCGGCACCCTGCGAATGCAGTGCGGAAAGCCGCATCGTCACAGCTCACAAGGCCTGCAAATCCCGGGCTCGTCAACCCCAGACAAAGCAAACCCACAACAAAACCCAACAAGACACCCAAAGCAACAGGAAATACTACGCGACCGCGGCTTGAAAGACCGGCGGCTCAGTTTCCTCAGCGAGAATGGCATCCCTGTCAAGGGCCCAAATTCGCAAAATTGCAACAAAGTAACGCTGCACTGCATGGATCTGACCATTTGAAAGGGAGCAGCCGACAGGCACAACTCCACATTGACGGAAACTAGGTGGTAAAGCAGCCAGGCAAAGCTTGAAAGGGAGGCGATCCCTCACGAGCAGCAGCCCTCCATTCATCATTCAAACGAGTGCGAAACTCAAGGTTGGCCGGGCAACCCCAAAGGAAGTGATCAGTATGTTCATCATCGAGGCCGCAGCGTCGGCAGCGAGGATCATTCACCTTTCCTGCCAGGGCATCCGCAAGGAAGCGACAGTAGCGCGCACCGAGGTCAGTGCCATCCCAGCCAAAAGTCAGACGACGGCATCTCAATTCATGCAGGGGTTGCAGGGAGCGGTCCCTGTCGATACCGACCCCCACACCCTGAAGAAAAGTCCTGGAACCATGACATAGGCAGCGAAACAATGCCACTCATTTTTACGCAGGGAGCGGAACGCAGCAGCGCCAGAACAGCGGCAGCCGACGGCGGGGGGAAAGTAACGGACACAATGCAGGAACCCAGCGCGCAGGCACAGCAGGAGCAGAAGAGAGATGAGCAGACCGCCCGCACCAATAGGAGACCGTAGTCAAAACAGAGAAAACACGGCGGAAGTACTTGGCATCGCAAGCCAGGGAGCGGCAGCCGACACTGGGGGCTGCAGCAGGGATAGCCGAAGCTGCGAGCACGGGAGCTGCAAAAGAGGAGGGCAAAAACCAGCACGAGCCGCAGCCCCGGAAAGATGCCAAGGAGCGGCAACCCATAGCGAGGGGAGAACATGAATATAACAACGGAAAACGGAGAACCGAAGCCGCAAGAAAGCAATCAAGCCCCCACAGCACCGGGAGCAGGTACGGAGCAGGCCACCACGTTGTAAGGAACCTGCAGCCAAAGCAGAGAAAGGCTCATCAGACGTACATGGTGCCGCGAGTACAGCGAGATGGGAAAGAAACCAGAATCGTAGGTCAGGCCGCAGCACCGGGAGCAGGCGCCAAAGAGCGACAGCTGATATAGGAGCGCGGCAGCAGCAGAATTCGCAAGCACAGCAACCGCAGTCACGAGGTAATACAGACACCAGCGCGGGCCGCCACGCCGGGAGCAGATGCAAGGAGCGGCAGCCGCTAGCGGGAGGAGAACACGACGGTAACCGTAGAAACCGCAAGAACTGGAACAGCAAGAGAGGAAATGAGAGACCGACGAGAGCCGCAGCGCCGGGAAAGCGCCAAGAACAGAAAGAGAGAGAGAGAGAGAGAAGGAGAGAGAGAGAGAGAGAAGGAGAGAGAGGGAGAGAGAGAGAGAGAGAGAGAGAGAGAGGCGAGCGCGAGCCGCAGCGCCGGGAGCAGGCGCCAAGGAGCGCAAACCGAAGGCCGGAGGAGATCACGGCAGCAAGCAGACGCCCAAGAGTGGCAGCCGTTAGCAGGGGAGAGAGCAGCGCTCCACGTCGTCAATGAGCTGACACCAACAACGGAAGGGGCAACAGCGGTAGTAGAAGAAGCGCGAGCACAAGTGAAAACGCGAAGGCGATATGATCCGCAGCGCCGGGCGCAGGCATCAAGAAATCAAGGAAGCGAGATGGCTTTGGCCACCACACCCCAAGCAGTATAGCCGAGGAGGCAACCTGTGGGCGCAATGCGGCGCTGCATGCACCAAGACTGGCTGATGAGAGAGGCATCAGCCACCTCTGGCAAGGAGAAGTGAAAAAAAACGGGATACGGCCCCCTCAACACCTCCGACTCGTGGCTCGACAGGGGGAAGCCCAACCCACAGTCCCCAATCCAAAACGGTTCAACCCGAAATCTTGGGGGAAGCTTCGGAGAGAACCTGCTTCTAGACTCTAGACGGAGCGATTAAGCGACCACATGTGCACACGCCGCCACTGGAGGCGGCGCCCAGTAGTGAACTAGCACCCGGGAACACGTATCCCTGCTGACGAGACATCGCGTTGTTCCAGGCGATGGGTGCCAACGGTGCTTTCCAGGTTGTTCGACAGCAGCCGCACCCGGCACCTGTGGTCGAAACTCCGGTTGAAACTCCGGGGGTTGTGCTTTGTGAGGTGGCCAAAGGGGGTTCCCATGCTGTCCGCCAGCACCATGTTGCCGAACTGAGCCTTCCGGACCATTCTGCGACGCCTTGTCGGCCGTCCCGCCCCCCGGACATATGACGTAAGAGAGCACACTCACAACGGCCTCCACAAAGTCGCGGGCGTAGACGCCTGCCTCCGTGCACCGCGTCGCTGTAGCACCTGCTCGAGAACCCTTGAGGGGGATGTGTGTGTGGGCTGAACCCACCCCAGGACACCTTCTTGAAAGGGCCGCTGCCAAAGCATTCGCGTCGAGGAAAGGCCAAACGCGTCTTGTGATGGTAGAAGCCCTCCTCATCCTCCGGCCCAAGCCCAAAGGCACACATTGGAAACTCCACCCACTGCACATCCGGTCTATCCAAGATCCTCCGCCAGCAAGGCAGGTCCCACATTTTCGGATAGCGCCCCGAACGAGCAGTGGACTCAGCAATGGGAAAGGCCCCGTTCTCCAAACATGTCATGAAGAGCTCCGCCTCCGCCTCACTCAGGATATTGCCAATCTCCTCATTCTCGCTGAGAGCCCTCCCCTCGCTGCCGCCCTGCGGACGTTGGAAAGTTCGAGTCCCATTGTTCTGTAGGCCCCAGTCGCAGAAGCTCGCGCAGGGGCCCGCCAGCCACCAAACATTTGCGGGCCCATTGCGTGCCTGGTACAGCAGACGTTGTCGGACATCCAGGAAAGTCAGGTCGAAAGCGGCTCGATATCCTTGCTTGAGACGCGGCTCCTCGTAGACCTCCACTGGATCCATGCACTTGACGCCTGCACGCTGCCAACCTTGCGTCATAACGCCCGAGCCCGCAAACACCTCCTGGAAACAAAGTGCGTGGCCCCGAACTTGGTAAAGTCCACCTGGAACTGAGGCACCGGCCCAGATGCACCCAACAATGGCTGCCGCTGCCAAGTTGCTCTCCTTTCGCGGGCCCAGGACATCTTGGATCAAGTCGCCTGCCTTTCGCGAAGACTTGCACAGCCTGCAGAAAACCGTGCCCGGGCTCGTGCGTTCCTGGTCGTATCGGGAGTGCCAGAAGAACAGGAAGCCCAGAGCTGGCGTATCGTGAGGTTGCCATCGGTCAAGCACCAAACCAACGTTCACGTCCTCGGGGGGCTCCAGGAGGACCATGTGCCCACGCCAAATTAATGTCCACAGGACCCAGCCGCGCCACCGTCACGGTCTCCATGACGTAGTCCGCCCGTATGATCACCAACTTGCAGTCCTCTAAGTCCGCCGTGGGGAAGACCGCATGCGTCCTAAAGTCCTTGTCGCGGTGGGCCCGAATCATGTCATGCGTGTAAACGCGGATCTCCGCCTCAATGGTGCCACGCGGTTCTCAGCCTCGCCCATAGCCCCTTTGGCCTCCACCGCTTGGCGCGCTTGGCCCAGCCGAAGTTCCGCTGCCTTCATGGCCACCTCGTCCATGGTAGGTCGCCTCGCATTCATCCTCCACAGGATCCCGGCCGCGATCGCCTTCGCGACGCACTGCCTCTTCTCGACCCCCGCTTCGGCTTGTTCAAGAAGGGCCGCCAACTCTTCAGACATGGGGATCTCCTCCTTGAAGTCCCATATAGTCCAGTGCTGCCCTTCAACAATGGCCACCCCCTTGCCTGGCTGACCCGGTTCCCACACGGTATCCATCACCTGCAGCGTGCCGGTTGAACCCGCCTTCGTCCCAAGGGCCTTCTCGAGAAGGATGGTGGCCTCCTCCACCATCTCGCCCAGGCCATAGGTCGCCATCTCGGACAAAACCTCCTCAAAGCACGCGCTTGGTCTTCGTGCCACCCGTGCCGCTGCCCAAGCATATAGGTCGTCCGACGCCCCCTCCAGCTTACTGAGCACCGGGCCCGACGCCAAGTTCTGAGCTCGCTGAACGAAATCCTTCGCCTCCTCCGGCGCTGTCTCGCCTGTGGCCTCCAGCAACACTTTCTCCCCCGGGCTTCGGCTAACCAACCATCGCACGTCCGGGCCCTTCAGCTTGTCCCGCATGTCGTGCTCCGCTGCCGTGAAGTCGACCGCCTCAAACTTGTCAGGGATGTCCCACACCCGCACCACTTTGTCTCCTCCGGCCCGAGTCTCGCCCTGTCCTTCGGACGTTGCCTGTGTGGCGGCTTGCCCCGACTTCCGGCCATCTGCAACCTTGTCAGCCTTGTCCTTAGCCATTTCAGCGCGAATGGCTTTCACCTTCGTCGTGACTGAGTCCTTCGTCTCCATCTTCATGCGTCGAAGGCCACCTCGCCGAAGAAGTTGCACGCGTACGCAAGGGTCCAAAGCTTCCCAGCGACCTTGGAGATCTGCATGCGACCTTTGACAAGCTGACGTGTTGCAGCCCATGTGAGTGAGCGCACCCCAGCACAGAAGCGTTCCATCTTTGTCAGTTGGCGCCCTCTCCTTGGCCTTGTTCACCTCTTCCGTCGTCAGCTTGGGCCCCCACAAATTTCCCTGCGTTGGCTTGTCCTTCTTCTCGGGCTCGCCACCACCAGCATGGACCAAGTTCTGTTGCTTTGCTCCACGACCGCCTTCCCACGTGAGCCGCCAGAGAATCCGTTCCTGTCGACGTTCGATCCTAGGCAGAACCTCCGCCATGAACCATCCATCAGGGTTCTTCAGATCGAAAGTGCGGGGCAGTTCCAGCCAAGCCTTGCCCTCCACATTCGGTAGGAGGGCGTAGAACTTGATGTCCTGCAACGACATGGTCTCACGGTTTGCCGGATCTCCTTCAGCTCCTCGAAGAAACGCCAATGAAGCTCCTCCCAGATTTCAGAGACAACCGACAAAGGCCATTTGTGGGGTTCAGCTTGGTGCCAATCAAGCAGCAAAGAGAGTGCGTGCGACCTCACCGGCTTCCACTCAGCGCCATAGACCAGAGACCAAACATCATTTTGACGCCGCACCCTTGCTTCCCAGTCCTCAATCTTGTTGGGCGGAGCAGGTCGTTGATCGTGCCCAGGCCTGTTGGTCCGGAGCTCCTGCACGAACGCGTCCAGCTCGGCGTCGGCGCGCGCCACAAAGTCGGCCACCATCAAAGCATGCTTCTCCTGCGTGCCCCAGTACGGCCCAGCGAGGCCCACTGCCAGACGGGTCGTCACTTTCTGCTTGAAGCCCGCCTTCCTCAAACGCGTGGAGGCACCAACCTGAGCAGACAACAATGCGTTGGCAAGTGCTTGGCCCTGCTCTCCCGCACCGATGGTCACCTGATATTGGTCGCACGCCCTCAAAAGGAAGACCAACTCTTCAGAAGCCCTTTTCAGCCCTTTGACGGCCCCGGCCGGCACTGCATTGGCGTCCGTGTGGTTCTTCACCAAGGAGGCAATCTCCGCAGTCTGGGACTGGATGGCCCGGGCAATGTCATCCATCTGCCCTGCAGCTCTGCTGCCCCTGCCTTCCGGTCGTCCAGGCCGTAGATGCCCGGGTTGCTGATCTTCAAGGGTGTGGTCGGTGGTGTCGAAGCAAAGGACTTCTCGGACACGACCGGTTCGACAACCTCCCAAGAAGCAGGAGTAGTCCGGGCCGAAGACGGTGCAGATGAAACCGCTGCCCCTTGCCGTTGCCAAACTCGAATGAATTTGCTGAGGCCTTGTTGTCCGCGAGCTTGTTCTCGAAGCGCTTCCTGAAGAAGTTCCGTGGTCACCTGTGTCAAAGTCAGCGACCGCTCTGAAGCCAGGTTTTGCCGAACCTCCTCCTCCGAAAGTCCAAGGTCTCGGCCCTCGGCATACTGTTGAAAGAAATCCTCCAACAAAGGCAAAGGCTCCGGGCGACTGGGGGAATCCAACAAACCGAGCTTCGCCAAGTTCCGCTGAATGCTTGACTTCGGGGTGCTCCCGGGAGACCTTAAACGAGGTCTCGTCGCCCTGGCGTCCTCGCCCTTGACATCGTCCAAAAATCTGCCGCAGATCCCGTAGGGCTCGGTGTCCGTCGTCACGAGGAGGTGGAAGTTCTGGTTCTTCAGGATCGCCGCCTTCAGGTAGAGCAACCGTTCTCGCCGGTGAGCGCTTCCTCGAAGAAGATCTCCTGCTTGCGCCATGCAGCTTGCAGACCCATATTCCGTTGGAGTCCTCGACTCCCAGGCGCTGACACCCTGAAAACCGGCAGCCATTGCATCTTCTCTTCTTCTCATAGTCCAGGGCATGCTTGGGGCAGAGTGCCACGACTGAACAATCCTTCACAGCATCCTCCTCAAGCAAGGTGTACGGGTTGGCGCCGGAGCTGCCGCAAGGCCCACGACACAGCACATGATCTTGATCATTGTCCGACCACCGGACCTGGTGACCGGCACACTTGACTGCCTCCTCTGGCTCCGACTCCGAACCAAAATTGAAAACTCGCTTTGCGGGCGGCGAAGCCTTGGCGGCCCAAAACCATGTCCAGAGAGTCTTGCCGGCCTCTGCTGCGCCCAGCTCCGCGCCACGAAGCTGAAACTTTTCAGCGTCGAACTCCTTGGCCAAGGCGTACTCCTTGAAGTGTTGGCCCTCCTCTCCGCATTGAAGAGAGCGGCACAAATGGACCTTGTCGTGGCCCAGGCAAGCACCCACTACCTCCTTGTCCCCTCGCCAGGTATCGGGCTCGACAGGAACACGCCCTTCTCACAAGGACCCATTTGTCTGAGCCGCCCACCTTCTTGAAGTTCCGAAGGTCCGAGGTCTCCGGTATCCTCCCTGCGCCTGGTCCGATGAAGCTTGCCCCTGTTCCTTCTGGAACTCCTCCGGCAGCTCGTTGTGCCCAGTAGACCAAAGTGCCCACCTTTCTCACAACAGCTCTGATCAACCAGACCATCGTAAGGACAATGGCTGAGCACAAAGATACCACTGGCCAGCAGAGCGCCCACAGGTAATGAGCAGGCAGACAGAAAATCAACAGAGCCAAGATTCGAAAGGCGCGTTGGCACCCTGTCCGAACTCCAGGCCAAGCGTTGCCAAACAAAGTCCACCCGACGATGCCGATGATGGTGTCCAGGAGAACAGGCCACCATCCCACGACAGCCCCTTTCGAGAGCCCTGGGGTGTGCTGCTCCACGTGCTTGCCCACACATACCAGCCTTCTCCCACAGCCGTCGCCTGCTCATAGTACAACGTGGCCCAGTCGGCCCATGCCTCCCAAGCAGTGCGATTTTCTTGCAGGTAGGTGGTGTTGAGGGCCCAGGGATTCAGCACTGAACCAACCTCCCTGGCCACATCCTGCAAAGATGCCCGTAGCAGCCAATAGGCGAACGAGGTATGGCATAGCCTACCACTACCTCCAAAAAAACTTAAGCCGAAGCCTTGCAGTAGACGAAGGTTTCACCTCACTGCACAAAAGCTACGGGTACTTGCTAACCTGCCATATGGCTCACATGAGAAGCAGCACAAGCTGATCAAGGCAGTTTGCCGCCCCCACAGCTGAGGATCAGGGGCACATTGAAAAGCTCGGCTCTGCCTGAAATACTCTTACATTGGGTTATCCAGGGATAATGGAGAACAAAATGGAAACTGGGGACTTTACATCACCGGGCTGGCTTCCGATCGCGCTCGCGAGTGGTATGGCCGAGGAGATGTGCCAATGCGGTATCAAGTAAGGCTCTCTGGGTGTGCTCACCGCACCGTGTCTCTTGGCAAGCGCTCCCAGTTGGACATGCTGCTCCTGTTTCCTTCCCTCTCCGTGATTCTTGTTGTTCAGTGGCTGTCGCTTGTCGGCGCTTCAGGCGTACTTTCGTACACTTGCTCCCTCTGTCACGCACTGTATCTCTCCCCTCCTCTCTCTGTCCTACTCCTCCATGCTCCCGTTGTTGTCCTTGTCTCCGTTTTCGCGTCTTCCCCTGGTGCGGCTCTTTCGGGTTGATGGGTACATGTGCTCGTCAGATCATTCCGTTTGATTGTTCGGTGCGTAGGTATTTCCAGATCCCAGAGGCCGCTGGCGGACAACCTGGGAAGCACCTTTGGCAACCTTACCAGGCACAACCTCAACCGTGGAAGCAGCCACAGGCCACAGATGCTGCTGGCGGACAACCGTGGAAGCACCTTTGGCAACCTCACCGCCCCAAGTTTCGTGCCCGCGCAGGTGCAGCAGGACAGACATCCACCACAGCCAGGGCGGGGGGAGAACGCAGTCCTTTCTCGACAGGCTACGGAGGAGGGTGAAGACTATGGCGGGCAAAGCGACGGCAGGGCTGGGGGCGGAGGACCGTGGAAACCGGGTTGGTTGGACGACATTTGGGACGACGACCAGATTGACTTCCAGATCACAAAGGCCTTTGCGATGTGCGGTGGAGGCGACACGAGGGCCGGGAGCGCGGAGAACGTCTACGTGGCCCCAACCGAGGCGGCAAGGAAGGCGGCCGAGGCCTACGTCGAGGAGGTGGAGGGCTGCGGTCACGGTGAACCAAGGAACTGGAAGGCGGTCAGCGAGAAAGGGGGAAGTTTGCTGGATCATGCTGGCTCTGTGGAGGGTGCGGCAAAGAGCTTGTGGCAAGTCAGAGAGCTTCGCGACCTCAACAACCTTAAGGGCGTCGACGAACCGTACCTGGACACGATCCTGCACCCTGACCTTCTGGCGTACTTGCGGGATGTTCGAGAGCAAGGTCTCGGGCACCCGGGAACGACAACGAGCCAAGCTTCACCCGAATGCGAGGAGGAACGTCGACCAGCTGTATCGTCAAATTTGGAAGGACGTGGCCAAACACAGAGAGTCTTGGTGGTGCCGTCGTCGCATGCCCTGCTGCATGGAGTAGTGGCCAGCCCCTTCGATGCTGTCGACAAGATGCTGCCGGACCGCACCATTGCAGCGGACAAGAGGGTCGCGCACGAGCAAAGGGGTGTAAATGCCCTGACCGACAAGGAGTGGCACCCGCCGGCAGTACAACCGAAGCATGTGCAAATCGCTCGCCTGATCCTGTGGCACAAGTGTCGCTGTCCGGGTGTGGAGGTGTTGCTTTCCAAGAAGGACATTGCCGGGGCCTTTCGACTCCTGTGGGTGGATCCGAGAGACGTGGCCCTGTTTGCAGGCGAGTTGCCTTGGCTACCAGCAGAGATGGAGAGTGGCGAGCATGTTGAGGGCGAGGACATCACCGTCATCTACCTGGTCAGCTCCTTTGGGTTTTCGGGGTCTCCAGGCGAGTGGTCGGTCTGGGGCCGGGCCACGGAGGACTTCTTGACCAGCCACCGCCCTGCAATCCCAAGGAGGGATCTGAGCGCCCCCTTTACAAGCCGCATCCTGGTCGACGACAACGTGTTGGTGGAGCCCCTCGTTGGTCTGAGGCCATGGGTGGCTGCCGAAGTGTACGAGAAGGGCGTGAAGATGATGTTGGGCAGCAATGCAGTCAATGCTGAAAAAGACAGCATTGAGGGGCCGTTTCGCACGTTCCAAACGGTGTGGGGACTCGATGTTGAGACGAAGGTTGAAGAAGTTCACCTGCCAGAGAAGCGGATCATGAAAGGGGCCGTTCTGCTGAGCGACCCTTGTTTCGACTATGGCTGCAAGGAGATCAGCGTGCGGACCATACAGAGGTTCAGGGGAATCGCCACGGGATGGGCGGTCATTGTCCCAGGCCTGAAGAAGGAGCTCAAGGCAGCCGACCGGTTCATTGGGCCGAACCTCGATGGCAACGCAAAGGCGGTGCCAAAAGTGGACCGTCCGCACGACGAGGAGGAGATCGAGCAAGCGTGGCGAGACCTGTGGGACCTCTTTGAAGCAGCGAGGTGGCTTTGTGCGAGGCCGGAAACATGGTCGTCAAAGTTTGGAGCTGGGCTGAGAGAACTCCTTCCAGTTCGGGAACGTTTGGCGGTGCCGGGCGCGTGGCAGCAGGGTGTGGTCTTCGTCTCCTCGGACGCCACCAGGACCATGATTGGGGCCATCGACTGGACGAACGGGGCGGTCATGCGCATGAAGGTTGGCTTGGCGGCAAAGTGGGTCGGCATGGTCACGGAAGAGGGCGAGGTCGCCATCCATGTCGCGGAGATGTTGTCCTTCCTGGCTTTCGCGTGCAAAGTGGCGGCCAGTTGGACAGGAAAAGTTGTCCTCTACGGCGGCGACAACCAAGTGGTCAGAGAGTGGATCGAAGGGAGGAAGAGTGGCACGGTGGTGGGGCGGCTCCTTGCGCGCATCCTGAACATGGTGGAAATGAGGTATCGCTGCACCGTCATTGCTGCGTGGTGGCGTACCTACCATAATGCGCATGCCGACTACGTGACCCGGTGCACCCGCCAGGAGTTTGAGCAACTCGTCAAGGACAAAGGGTGGATCATCGTGGACGTTGCGGAGGAGCTGCGCCAGGCCGTCGAGGACTCGCAGATGTTTGGGCCCACGCTTTTGGCATGGCACGACTCGGATCGACATGCGCTTCTTCGCCTTAAGGAGCAGCGGCTGATGAGACAGGTCCCTCGGTGGAACCAACCAGCGTGGGCCAGTCTGAAGTGCGTCGAAATGGCCGGCAAGGAGCGGTTTGTGTTCGACTTCCACGGCGGCGGAGGCTTTGGGCTGTCCAGTCAGGACATCGACGTGGGCCGGTCCGGTTCACCCAGGTGAAGTCGTTCTGGCTGCGTTTCCTCCATGGCAACGTGGCGGCTCAGGCGGCGCAGGCGGCCATCGACGGGGAGGCGGCTTTGGTGGTCTTCGAAGGGCCCAGAGCAGTCACGTGGGACAGCACCGCGAAGCAGTTTCTGAGGTCCCAATAGTCGGTGCACGTCGGGGAGTTTGTCATGAGTTCGAAGGCAACCCTTTGGAGCTGACGACATGTCGGAGCAAGCTCGGTCCGCCGATGAGCCCCCGTTTGGATCCCACCAAGATGGTTGGGCCCAGTCAAGATCACCATGGACGGGGGCGTTCCTCGTGACCTTTGCTGCCAATGATCAAGGGCCACTTCTGGTTGGACGGCAAGCGAAAGAACCTGGTCGGCACTGGGGGCCCTTTGTTGTGGCCGCTTCGAGTCCCCCACAGGAGCAGGTTGAACAGAGCATTGTTTGGGACCCGAGAGGTCCGGTCGGCAAAGTTCGTGTGCTCACAGCCTTGGAAGTGCGGAGGTGCCAAGGGCGTTTCAGGAGCTGTTGGATCAAGGCCGGTCCGAGCAGGAGATCCTTGTGGATGGAAACCGGGCAATGGGCAGCCAAGTGGCGTCGGCTCTGTTGGTCATGGCGGGCTACGTGGTCGACCAGGCGGGGCGGAAGGCTGGCAGTTGTGGCGACTACCTGGGGGACGAGCACCTGGCGAAGATGCTCGAATGGCTTTGTCGATGGAGACGAGGCCTTCTTCCGCGAGGGCACGATTCAGGCCACGGACGACGGGAGGCCATGACCAAGGTGCTTCGGGCGACCGTGACGGGCGACCACGGGTGGTCTGGGCATGGATCGAAGACTTCCTGTGGGGCGATTCCAGCGGCGACGAGGCGGAGGACGAGAGCATGGACGAAGGGCGAGCCGGTGGCAAGCGAGCCAAAAAGGGCGGGGCCGAGACAACTTTGACGGCCGTTGGGGAAGCACAAGTTCAGGATCACTTCGGAGCGGTGTGCCCGTTCGATGGGGAGGTCGGGGCACGCATCGACGAGTGGGTCGAGGAGAACTTGTCTGGCCACCTGGCGGAGAGTACTATGAGGCAGTACTCCGGCATCTATGGCAAGTGGAGGGCCTGGGCGCGACGTCAAGGCTGGATGACAGAGCACTTGGATAAATCCCTCCCGACAGAAGAGAACGAGGACCGACTCCTGGGGTTCCTTGGCTACCTCGGTTGGCTTGGGTGCTCGGTGGCAACTTTGAAGCAGGCCGTCTTCGCGGTGAAGGAGGCGCATAAGCGGGCCGGGAAGGGAGATCCCACGGAGAGGATGTTTCGCCTTTGGATGCTGCTGGGCACCTTGGAGAAACGTTCGCCAAAGAAAAACAGGCGGCTCGGGGTGACCACGACAATGCTGAAATGGATCGGCTCTTTCGTGCAGCAGCTCACCGGGGATGCCGCTGACGACTTCGATGGGATCATGCTCAACGGGGCAGCGCAAACGGCTTGGTTTTTCATGCTGAGGGCCAAGGAGTACTGTGACTCGAACGGGGTCGACCTCATGATGATTGTTCGAGGCGTCGACATCAAGTTCGTCCTTGAGGAGGGCACCGGGCACATCATTGGTGTGACATTACAGTTCCGGAAGACCAAGGTCGACCAAGAAGCGTTTGGCGAGCGCAAGACCTTTTACAGGTCCGGCGTTCCGGAAGTCTGTGTGGTGACGGCCCTGAAGAAGTTCGAGACCGTGGCACCGCAGCGCTTCGGTACGGGCAATGAGGCTCTGAAGCCACTGTTCCGTTGGGCCAATGGGCAGGTCCTCAAACGGATCCAGGTCCAAATCGTTTTGCAAAAAGCTGCAGTGGCGTGTGGATTGCCAGCAGGGCGATTCATGATGCACTCCCTTCGGATCGGGGGAGCCTCTGCCCTGTTCCAGGCCACCGGTGAGATCGAGTTGGTCAAGAGGACCGGAAGGTGGACGTCAGCAGCAGTCCAACGCTACTTGCACGACGGCGAGGTGGCGCTGAAGGACTGCGCGGGCAAGATGGCCAAGGTCCAGCAAGAAGTGCACTACACGTAGTCCCAGCTCGCGAAGGTGGGGCCGTGGCCGCAAGGGCCATACGCACTCTGCCACTTGAGGTGCAGCGAGCACCAGCAAAAAGTGCCTGTGCGAGTGTGTGCAAGTTTTGGGGGCATGTGCTGCTGTTGCTGCAACCGTGGACATGTCCCTGTTTTTGTGTGAGACGGTCGTGAAACCGTAAGTGTACCAAAGTGGCAGGTTAGCAAGTAACCGTAGCTTTTGTGCAGTGAGGTGAAACCTTCGTCTACTGCAAGGTTTCGGCTTAAGTTTTTTTGGAGCCCACCCGCTCCACCCTGGGGGCCGTGGCCGCAAGGGCCATACGCACTCTGCCACTTGAGGTGCAGCGAGCACCAGCAAAAAGTGCCTGTGCGAGTGTGTGCAAGTTTTGGGGGCATGTGCTGCTGTTGCTGCAACCGTGGACATGTCCCTGTTTTTGTGTGAGACGGTCGTGAAACCGTAAGTGTACCAAAGGTCTAAACTCCTAGCATCCCCCTTAAGAACCCCGATAGAGGTCCCCTGTGTAATCCTCTGAATAACTTCCCTTTAAGGAGTTTAGTTTTGACTATAGCTCATGTGACGCAGCTGCCCTCAGCCCAGCTTGAGTTCCACCCACGCCTCGCTGCCGAGGCTAGCGATTAACTTACCTTTAGTTAGCTAGGGATGAAGGCATGAAAAAATGGAAATAGGGACTACTATAAGAATCCATGAAGGAATGGATCCTCATAGTAGTCCCTATATACCCCATTATGGTAGTTTCCACGTTCTTTTCCATTCCTTCATTCCCAGCTAATCGAAGATAAGTGAAATCATGTCTGTCAGGTATGAAAACATGTCGCCTGCTGATTTGCGGGCTGGCCCTTGAACGAAAATGCCGTGCTAGCAACTTCATAGGCTGATGCTAAGACTGAGAGTCAACGTGTCCAGGATGTAGCAGAGTGCGGTGTCGTGATCGCCGATAACATCACCTGCCGCATAACCTTAGCAACGAAAGCACACGACAATCAACACAATTACCGGCGGCTAATCCAAGTTGTGGGTTACATCATGTCACCTCGCAGCCCAGGTGCCATGGTAGCCATGGTGCTCCTGCTGGACCTTCACATGACAGTTTTGAGGGACCTTTCTCTGCTGTTCGAGGCCACAGGCTTGGGCTGCCCACTGCTCTAAGGGAAACTCTGTCCATGTGCACTGAAAGCTTACAGTCATTCCCCCTTCTCATCACCTAACAGGCCACCGTCGGCAGCAAGTTCTCCATCTTCATGATGTCATGGATGGCCGTCAGTGCCTTATCATGGGAGTTTGGCCGGGTAACAATACGCGCGTTTATGGTACTGTACGGAGTCCGACGTCCACCTGATCATGTCCTCCTACGACAAAGCCACTGTCCAAGATGCCCACCAACAGCGACACCATGCGGGTCTCCCGCACTCGGTATGAGGTCCTTCCAACTGTCTGCAAAGACTTTGGCAAAAGACCTATACATTCTACAATTACAATCTCATGGAACGTGGCCGTCTGTTTGTTTGAAAACCTGAACAGTTTAGCAAGTGTCTTACCACCGGCACTGCATAGGCACTTTGCACCTCGAGCCGGCGCTTGTCTCCTCCAACAGCCCCGCCTGAGAGGCTTACATGCAGTGCCGCATGGGGAAGAATCTGCCAAGCAATACCGAAATGCAGGTTATCAGGTGACACATTCCTGCAAAATTATGCTGAACTCTTCCAGGGCATTTAACGTAGCGATTGCCTAGCACTCGACTAGGTCTTGAATTGACGTTCTACTCACTCTGACGAGTGCCAAGCAACTACATCTCGAATCCCTGAGGCAGAGTGGACCAGCTTTGCCAGCCTCATTTCCCTTTTCTGAGATGGGGGTGGGACATCTGAGAGGCGAGCATCCACCATGAGTCGGCGGAAGAAGCCCCACCTGAAACGACTGGGAATACGGCTTCATGCAGGCCTTGAAAGCCTGCAAAGCACACCCATAACTGTGGATTGAAGGCCTTTTTAGATTTCATCATCTGTGCATCACGACAGCAGGTCTCTGCTCTTGGCTTCTTGCTGGGCGTTGTTGAAGAAAGCCAGGCGCCGATCCACTTTGTATAAGCCTCAGTGGGCATGCAGCAGGTACTTCGAGTCTGACAGACCCGCTGTTGCTGCAAACTGGGACAATTTTCCCCCAACTGCAGCTTACCGCAGTGGGCGTGCCGCATGTTTGCAACACAGCATTAACCCTTGCAGGCAATTGACTACGTTCACTGGAAACCCTCCAACTTAGCGCTGCACTGCGCCGGGGCTTTTCCAAACCGATCCAAACAACCCAATACCAGAGACAAATAGTCAAAAGCATCAACCACGATAGAGTATGCAGAAGAGCTTCGGGATACTAGGCCGCACCCAACCATACAGTACCTAACCATTCGTTCCTGCACGAGTAGTGGCTGGGACCCGGGCGTTGCTGTAGCTCTATCGACGCGCTGCTAGTCTGCATTGCCACCTGCTCAGATCTGCGCTTCAGAGCTCGCAAGTGGGTTGCCACCCACTAGCGCTTGCTGGCGTCCGGTTGGCAGCAGTATCTTGGCAAAAGTGACTTTACATAGTGGTCAGGCTAGTGGTCATGCATCACGCGCTATTACAGCGCGCCATTGAAGCTGAACGCAAGGTAGCATCAAATCCCGAAGGCGGGATTCCAGATTCAAAGCCGCACGCTCCCAATGCAGAAAAGCTCCCTCAAGAAAGACCCATCTCAGGTCTGCCCAGCTCTAAGCACCTGCCCGTCTTGGATAGCAGGTTCCTGCGGAATCAAGACAGCACAACATACGTACAGCTGACCAGAGTTTACCTGGGAGGCACCTCAACGAATGTAGAGCTTGCAGCTGTCCTTCAGTGCGGTCCACTCATTGTCTGTGCCGAAGCAAAAGCCTTGACGACCATCGGTGTCCAGACCTGACCCGCATGGTCAGCGTCTGCATGTACAATTTTTTGAGCTGCAGGCAAGCTAAGTACTCAACGCATGAGCCAGTAGATGGCGAAAAAAGCGCAGACGGTGCGTTGATACCTCTTTAATGTAGAAAGGGGAATTTAACAGTACGGGATCATAAAAAGAAAAACGCTGCACATAAGCACAACATAGCAAGGTATAACAAGACAGCTGATCGGGAACTCATCGTCTGTTGTTCGGCCGGATCCAGTCTCCACCACCTCGGCCAAGCTGGATGCCCTGCAAGTAATGTTGCCACCCGAGGATACAGACCAGACCACAGCGATATCTGAACCATTTGGGGAGATCTTCAGAGACATCAGGCTTTCGTGACACCCTGTGCTCTCACCTGGTTCTGTTTGGTGGTCGAAGGCCCCCGCTCCATCCCGCAGGTACAGAGAAAGTTCTGGAAAGGCTGCCAGGTCCTAGGAGCACGGCAGACAAGTCTAGCTAAAGCTGCAACGCGCTGTCATAACACAGCATGCGACATCCTGCGTGAACTGGGTCAAGGTATAGTCCCGGTCCAGCATCCGGTTTGCCATCTTCCTGCCGGAAAACCATAAGTTTCGAGGGCTGGCACACAAATGCAGGAGGCCACCATGCAATTCCTGGACCAGTGATTGTTTGCCAAAGGCACAGACAGCTGTTGTTAGAGGCTTGGCAAAGCTGAAACCCTGCTTGCAAGCCCGCGTCTCCTGACAGTCTTCCAGTCAGTTCCTCAGAGCACAGAGCTTTCAAACAGGTTCAGCCGTACCTTTCACAGCTGACAGGAAGAAACTGTTGCATGACTGCCAGAAAGCCACCAAGCAACCGCAGTTTCACCTAATGGTGCCGTACCCCAAGCCCCAACTCTTTGGGCCAGCCTTGTTTTCTGAAGAGCCCCAAAGCCATCTGAGGGAATGGCTTTTGTTCGCAAGGATGCGACGCAGGTGAGCATTCGGCGCCCCTTTCCTGAGGGGTTCACAAACTTGAAGCTTTTGCCCAGGGACCTGCTGGGCCTCCCTCGGCGCATTGAAACTCCAAAGACCCTGACGCGACACTTCCCAAACGCATGAAACCAAACAGGAAGCACACAGTAAGTTGCAATGACAGCAAGACAATGCAAGACATGAGAATCAGCGAAATTCGCGAGATGGCAAAGCGGACCGAGGCTAACAAACCTTCCTCACTCTGTGAGACTTCCAGCAAATCTAGCATCAGCGATGCCCGTCCCACACTTAGTCGGGTCGTGTACGGATGCAGCTTCCCTCCCGGAAGCTCCCTGCGGGCCATCCCTTACAGCACTAACAGCTGAGGTTGCCGGCTTCGTCATGTTCACGTCTTTGCCCATAGGACCCTGTCACTTGGGAACATTGATCTGTGGAGTCGTTTGCCCAAGCAAATTATGGACACGCACAATACCAAGAAAAATTAATTCAATTGAGGCTTTCGCCGGATTTACAATCGATGCAGTCTTCGAGATGGCCGGCGCAACCGGAACGCGCTTCAACAAGGCAACTTCTGCTTCCTGAGAACAGTCAGATCAACTTGAGGAGTGAACACGAAAGTGCTAGTTGCAAGTTGCAAAGGCTTTCGGGAAAAGGGACGGATGTTGAACGAAGCCCGGATCTGTACTTCGTGCCATCGACAATTTTGATCCCCATGAAGCTTAGATGCCAAGAGCCTCTGCCTAATTTGCAGAATGACATGCTGGGGGAGGAGCCAAGCGCTTGACCATCGGCGACTCGCTGCCTCAGGCGATACAAGCCCACAGCTTCATGTGGGTCCAATGTAGGTGTTGTAGCTTCCGTAATCCAGGTTGGGTCATTGTTACTATCATGTTGACTGTTATTACTACGATTTTCATTACTATCATGACTGCTACTATTATTGCTACTACTATCACATTTGTTGACATTTCAGCAAATCACCAGTCAACTGAGCCGATGTCTCTCCGAGGCTGGCTGCAAACTGACAAAGAGTTTACTTGCAGGTCTCACAGACGAACACATGGACTCTGTGCGCGAGATCACCAAGAAAAAGAAAGCTAGGGTAAACTGCTTCAGAACTGGCAGGCACGCTCATGCAAGGCTCTTCCCTCGTTGCGTCCTATACAGGCTGAGGCTGGACGAAGAAAGCATCTGCTGAGCTGAGCGACACCTGGCCTCCGCCGAGCACTGACCTCTCAAAGCAGAAGTATGACGTCTTGTTGCATAGCCCACGGCTGTCTACACCATGCTTGCAATTTCAGAATGGCACCTGTGAGTGCTCATTGCTGCACCAGACAATTACTTCTGCTACTATCTAAATCATTTTTATTCCTCATCCAAGCACCCTCGTGGCTTGTAGCTCGCCTTGTCAAAGTCGCTGCATGGTGTCCAGAACCAAACATTGAGCTGAGATCCTCCAACAGTGCCACGGATCCATAGTAGTAATCATTAAATTAGTAGCAGATTACCAATCGTAAGAATGCAAAACCATAGTAAGAAAATAATGACGCTGCCTGTATAAAAGGCAATAGTCATGCGAGTACTAAGGCTTCTCTAATACAGGTAAGCATCTGGGCAAAGCAACATGGTCCCTGCAACGATTGTGTCTCGTGCACAGCAGCTGAGACGCCGGCCGATCGGGATTGGCTCTTTGCAGTGAAACCTGCCCATCAAGTGAGCTAGTCTCTAAACTCCTTAAAGGGGGGTTATATAGGGGATGATGTAGGGGACTACTATAGGGGACATTAAGGGGGATACTGGGAGTTTAGACTATGGCTCAAGTGTGCTCACACTTGTGTGAAGGAATCATGGTCGCAGCTGAAGAAGGAGTCTGTCAGGATCCTGAACGAAAAGAAGTCTATCCTAGCTGCACAGCTATCCCACAACAAAATTCGCGATGCGAAAAAAGTTGAACAATCTGAGACTTCTCAGACTTGTGGCCTTTATGGGGGTGTGGTTGGTAAGCGGTACAAATATTGCACTGTAACACAGCAACCCTGAAAATGAGACCCTAGTTTCGGAAATTACCCGCTAGACCGTGAGTCCGAAGCCCGAAACCTAAAACCCTTGCCCGCACACTCTAAATTGAACGACAGCAACCCTCGAAACCCAGACCTTCCGGAACTTGTATGCCTTGTGAGACACCCTGAGCCCTGATTTGTCAACCCTGAATTTTAAGCTCTCTACGTTCAACCACTTACCCTAGCCTCAACGCCCAACCATGAACCCGGAAACCACACACAAGAACCAGTGCGAGCAGCAGACCTCTCCAGGCTAAAGTGACCGTCTGCAGTGGCAAACTCCTCTCAAGGGATTCTGGCTTATGGGGCCCTTTCCTGGAGTGCCTTGCGAGATCTAGCGCTTTGGAGGGGGAATATGTCAGGATTGTAGCGGGAGTTTCTGAAGAGCGCGGATATCAAAAATCAAGGGGCAAGAGTAGTGTACGAAGGACTGTACTAGCTTGGGGGATGCATACCAGGTGCTTCATCATCAATAAACCAAGGACAATTCAGCGGTCTGGGAGATGATAATGCTACGACGAAACCTGTCCTGCCCGAAGGGTAGGCCAATGCACTGCACCTTGCAAAGCCAGCACCAAAGTTTATTTAACTAGAAGTTTGGTAGTTACCGCCTTGCTTTTTTCTTACGCTCTGGGTCTACCACCTTGTTGTGATCCGGATTCACCACTCTGAAGGTGACCTGCAACAGTGTTGAACATGCATGCTCGCTTGTCACAAATACTTGTAGTTTGCCACGCGTCTACTGGTGTGTGCCTGGTGCACGCAGTAGAGCGTGTTCAACCCTGGGTATCCTTCGCTTGGGACATTGTCGTCAGTCTGGTAGCCGTACCTGTGGCATTCACAGGCTCGAGATATCCAAACACATCAGTCTGTTCAAACGCAACAGAATCCAGGGAGAAAAAAATCTAAAGAGCAGTGTACACTGTGTAGATGACAGTGCACTTCAGCAGACTGAGCTCAGCACGTGTTAGCGAGTTCCTTCAGCTGCTGCTGCGCAGTCGTCGTCGCAAGTCCCAACTTCTCTTCGAGAACGGACATGCAGCAGCTTCGCCAGGGTTCGGCATACTCGTGGTTTTCCTCATATAGGCTGGCCTCACACGATGGCAACAGTGGGCTGTCAGATGGTAGCTTCCAGCAGAGCCTCCGCAGAGGAAGTTGCTGGCGTTGAATCTGTTGTCCATCGTGCATGAACTGCAGACGCGAGACTACCACGTGATCCACACCATCGATGTCTGCCAGAACACGAACCTTCAAAAGTCTGGTGACTCGCTTTAGACTGGATGTCCCAACGCCGGTCAGGATGCTTCCATGCTGGACGAAAAGCTCCCAAAACAGATGTTCGATTGCCTTCGTCCCATGTCTACCCCAGCTGGTTGTATCTATGCCATGGCTCCTCAAGACGTTGTTCAACTCCTCGAGGCCACTTCGGTCCAAGCTGCTTGCTTTTATTATCGGGCTAGATGCCTGCACACGGAGGACTGGCACACCACGGAGCCTCCCCGAGGCATGGCTGGCTCGGCTGGAGGCGTCGCTGCTGCCCCTGGTTGAGGTGAGGTCATCCTCAATCTCTTTGTCGAGATAGAGCAGCGATAAACTTGAAGACTGATCCAAGTCGCAGACAACTCTTTGCGACTCACCCTGGCAGCAGCTCTGTGACACGCCCACACCCATTAAGGCGGACGCGGTTATAAAGCCTAAAGGCCTACCAAAAAAGGACTGGCAAGCATTTGGGGACTTGGACAAGCAGCTGGCTACAAAGAAACCTTGCGGGGAAACCCTCCTGTTGAGCTTAACAAGAAATAAAACACAGGGCCATGCGCTTCTTGCGAGCTCGTACTTGGATTGTTACTCATTGCTCGGGCCATTTAAACGCTGTTCATCGGTGCACTGAGACTCAACACGTTCGAAAATTGGATCGTGCTGCAAGGCAACTCCGGCTGCATCCAGACTTCCACAGCACAGCATTTCCAAGTCCAGTACTGTTTATTCGGGCCCAAGACATTGTACTGTGCAGGGGTCTCATTTTCAGACAAAAAGCTGTGGAGCTCATTTGCTGAGTGAGTCTGGAATACTCAACACAGAATCAACCATAGCGGTCCTCAGTGATGCAAGTATGCAAGCCACATCACCGGCCCTGCCCCCAATAGTGAAGCCCCACACAGCTTGCAAGTCTGAGAAAATGAGCCATTGCCACTTGCAAAATGAGCCTAGGCAATCAATGGCATTAGTAGGCAGAGCTACGCATTGCGCCCCAACCGACAAAGGGATATTCAAGCCATCAACCCCAACCCGAAACCAGAAGCAGAGTCCGCCCAAGTCCATCGTCCGAAGAAAAAGCAACAGCTGCGTGTGCGAACAAATTACCTGAAGTTGCTGGAAGCACTTCCGAAACCCATGATCAGTTCAGGACATCTTGAAACTGTTTTGATCGCAGGCTATGTGTTGGTGCAGCAAGGCCGAGACCCGCAAGACCAGCAGGCAGTCACGGAAAGCTGCGGAAAGCCTTCTAAGCTGTCCGTCAGGTAAAGTTGTTCAGAGCAGCCACACCGGAAGCCCGTCTGCTCAGACCTGGCTTGTTCATCTCGTTCCAACCTGTCATGCACCAAGTGACTGTGACCTTGACTTCCACTGATCAGCCTCCCTCACCCTGAAAGAAACAAAAATGAGTGTGTCAGGCAAATTCATGCAAAGGGACCTCAAGGAGACAAACAAAGCGCTTCATCCTCGGCTCAAATCCTTTTGATCTCCCAACCAAAACCACTTTTTGCTTCAAGCGCATCGTGATGGAATCCCGAGACTTTGGCTTCCAAACCAGGCGAATTGCTGAGGCCCAACCTTCGTTTTGTGCAGCTTGATGGACAGCAGCTGAGCACCTTTTGCAGGACCTGGGTTTTCAACACTTTGGCTGGATGCAAGAACGCAAACTTCCGCCAAGCTCGGGCTAGGGCCCTTAGCAGAACCCGGCTGGTTGGGCCTCAAGATCGGAAGAAGCTGCGCCACGTTGTGGCATTGTGGCATGAGGCCAGGGTTCTGGCTTCTGCAGAAAGTCTCCATCCAGAAGACGTCGCATCTTCCTTGCCTTGCTGTGTAGGATGGCAGCCCAATTTAGGGTTAAGGGTTTGAGGTTGAGGGTCAAGGCACAGGCCTGGCAAGCAATCCAAACGCCAACTTGGCCCTCTCAGCACTTTATTTCTGGCTTCTCAATATGAATGTAGCTTTTTGTGGCTGATAAAAGTGGGTATAGATTTCCAAGATTTCAGTCACTTCGAAGTAGTGTAACATCCAAAGGCCGCAGCCCACTCGTGAGCAGATTCAGCCGCATGGTGATCCTGCCAACAAGCTAGAGCTTCCACCCATCCGCAATCCCTAAGCAGTCCCGAGAGAAATACCTTGCATGGAGCAATCTCCCTACCTCGAACCGGGGTAACCTCGAAGGTGCAAGCATAGATGAAAGACCAGACCACAAGCCCCTCAGCACCCAAGCTCACTAGGCAGTCGCTCTTGCTGAAAAGAGTGACCATGTCCTTGGAGGACTCCGCGGCCTGAACTGTGTGGGGATTGTGCCAATCTGGCCAATCGAAGAGGTCCTCGCAGCTGAAAGCTCTGGAGCCACCAACGCACCAATGCGACGAGTACCATGACTCTAGGCATCTTCTTACAGTTCACAACCCTGAGGCCTTGGACCGCTGAGAGTCATTTCCTTAGCTAACATGCAGCAGACGTGCAGTACATGCATCATCATGCAGGGTCAGTCTCATCGTCCCTCAAGAGCATTGATGTGTCAGCTTCTCACGATTCTGCTGATCCCAACGGCACGAACGCACTGCAACTGGGCTTTAGCAAGAGCACGATTTTGAGCAAAGATGTGAGAACGCATCACGCGTCGAAGAAGATACGATAGCTACAAACATCACATTAGCTAGGCACGAACCAGGGCTGTTCCCAAAGTCACTTTCGATGAACAAAAATACTGAGGATGTTCCGAGTGGGAACCGCGAATGCAGCCGAAGGCCACAGGCCACGTGTAAACAAAGGATTCGTAAACACCAATCTATCTTTCTTCTGTACGGGCGCTGGAGAGAACTCAAGGCTCGCCCGCGGGACTCCCCCCATCTTTGTTGGGCTTTGCCTCAGCAGTGTAACCCCACGGACGCTGGCTGCTGGAGACCCTAAAGCACGACTTATAGGGGCATAAGTTAGATCACGAGGTTGCCAGCCTGATGTAGCCATAGCTTTTTTGGGGTAGGGCATTCCATTCCGTTAAGTCACATCCTCACATCCTCAGGTGGTCCATGGACTTACGTATTAGTACTGTGAGGGGCCTTTCCTCGTAGTTCCTCCGAAGGTCCAGGGAGTCTAACGCAACATGCGTCCAAAATGTAGCATTGAGCAGCGTACGTTGGCTTGTTGGCCTTGACTCTTGGCGGACTGTGCAGTGAGACTAGCAACCTCTGGTACCTTGCTTACGGGGCCGGACCCTAGGCGTTTAGTTTGCCTCTCCATCTCTCTCTCTCTCTCTCTCTCTCTCGCTCTATCTCTCGCTCACTCTCTCTGGAGGATTGTGGTTATATTATATTCCTTTATCGCATCTATTGAGGAGCCTGCTAATTCAAAAAACGTTCATATCCCAAACATTAAAACTGCCGTGTGCTTTGAGCACCTGCAAAGCGAGTCGCCAAATACATCTGCAGCAGCAGAAGTAAGCGGCCTCAGATTATTAGCAAAACCACTTTCTGAAATTTGAGACACCCCATAAACTCCAGAGATCCATGAAACGAACAACCCTCCAAAGTTTCCACAAATTTCCTGTACAACTTCTGAACAAACATTGCGACATGAAAATTATCCCTGTGTGCTCAGCGACCCCATACTCCTTTTACTTCTCTAGAGTGCATGGTCCTGCGCCTGTCAACTTACTGGTGCTCACCCGGGGGCCCTAACCTTGAAGTAGTACCTAGATTCACTTCCCCACCAACGTCCGAAACCCCAAAATCTCTAAAGCCCCAACACACGGGCATGATGCCTAGTTGTTTCTGTCCTGCACTTCCTCGCAAGGACCATGACTTAGCTGTCTTTAGGACCCCCCCCTAAAAGTTAAGCTTTTAGCTTCCTTAATATAGAAAGTAGGGAACCCAAAAAGTTAAAGTCCTAACAGCCAGGCAGAAGACAGCCAAGATGAAGTCAATGACCGAGCTCTGGGCCGACTCTCTCCAACTGGCTTCACGGAATGCTCATGCCTTTGAAATGAAAGAATGGAATAGAAAATGGAAACTGTTACGCTACTTAGGGTTTCTTACTAGCGCCTCCTTTCCACTCAGCATCCAAATCGTACTTATGGCTTAGGGTCTAATGTTTTTAAGGTTCAGGCTTTGAGGCTTCAAGCTTTGCGGGCTTTGGGGGATTAGGATTTTGGAGTGTTGATGGGACTGTCCACTTGTGCAGGCATGCTGCATGGCTAGAGCAGCTGGGAATCTCGGGTCAGGAGGATAACCCAGTTCTGTTGGGGCCACATCCGAAGCAGCCAGAGGCTTCTCACGGGGTAAAAGGTAGAGCTTTCGGAGGCTTCAGACAGGCAAAGGCCCCTAGCCCAATCGCCAAAGAGTTGGGGAGGCCCGCACCCCAAAAGGCGACTTTAAAATGCCGCTGGAAGAAAATTGAAGAGATGCTCCCGCCAGCTGACCGAAAAAATCTGCAATAAAAGACTTGGTCCAAATCTTAAGTAAAATCTCGGCATTTTTTTCTCTGCGCAAGCTGTGGTTGTCCGCTTGCAATGCTTGCAGAAACTGCCAAGAATCCACATCCAGCGACATCCTGATCCAACGAAAGAGTTGGCCAAGGGAAGCTGCAAGAAAACCCAGTCAACACCAGAAGCTGCCAGGAATCCACATCCAGCGACATCCTGATCCAAAGAAAGAGTTGGCCAAGGGAAGCTGCAAGATAAACCAGCAAACACCGTTGTCGCTTCGGAACTGCCGGGCGCAGTGGGAGGGTAGAGTTCTGAGCCAGCGCAACGATTGCATACCCCGAGTTTACTACCCAGAATCTCGGCACTTTTTTTCTCTGCGCAAGCTGTGGTTGTCCGCTTGCAGAAGCTGCCAGGAATCCACATCCAGCGACATCCTGATCCAACGAAAGAGTTGGCCAAGGGAAGCTGGAAGAAAAACCAGTAAACACCCACGTCACCCATTAATATCATTGCAAGCGGTATTGTTACAGAGCCGAAGGTTGTACCAACTGCCCGTAAGAATAGCATTCCGGGTCCAGGACAACGATTGCTCAAGAATTTGAGGACAGCTTTGAGACGCTTGGAGCGAACATCATGACTCGCTGTCTGATGCTTTGAGGCAAGGACGGGTAAAATGTTGACGCTGCCACCTCTTGAAGATATATCTCCATGACCTTGGGGGCGTCGTCGCACGAGCTCTGCGTCCTCGGTCTGCTGCAAGAGGAAGGTAGCTCCACGTGGGCGGAAAGAACCAAGGTCCAGCGGGCGTGCGTGGTTCTTCGCCGTAGGCACGCCCAGTCTGTCGAGCACTGCGTCAAGGCGCGTCCTCAGCGTCTGAGCAGAAAAAAGCCACAGTCCTGAAGATGGTGACAAGTGCGCAATGGCGGCGTCAATCAAACTTACCAAATCTGCCGGTTCGACCTTGGCGGCTTGATGTCGAGCTGCACGTCTTCGGCTCCCATGTTCTGAACAGAATAAAAACCTGCGTCCAGAGCACGTCCCGTGGCAGAATGAGGCAGGCACGAGTAGAGTCGCCTCCCCAATGCGGAGGACCACCACCCCACGCAGCTGTCTACATACTCGGTCAGGATGCTGACGAGTGCCTATGTCAGTGTCGTGGGGCGACAGGACTCGGTCGAGGCGCGTCCCCTTATCTGACCGCCATACATACATCAAATCATGCAAGAACTTAACCCCCGCACGTGCAGCCTGTTTAAGCAAATCTTGGCCGTTCCTTGAGGCGAGTGGCCCTTCGCCTGGGAACCCAAGTGTCGAGTCGAAGCTGGTCTTAGGAGCATGCGGCAGGTCGTGTGAAGGGCTCTGCTGCACGGGGTCAGGGACACAAGGGGTGGAGGGACTAGACCCGTAAACTAGGGGCAGGCCAGACCCAACCCGACACAGCGGATGACAAACCCTGGTAAGAGCAAGGCAGCAGAGGATGGCTTCTTGACGCAGGAGGCCAGAGAAAAGTGTCCCTGGTGGGATCGTCAGAAACATTGAGCCTGGCGGGTGCGTGCTGCATGCGGAGGTATACTCCGCCGGCAGCAAGGTAGGCAGCTGCTTGGCAAAGAGTCGGGCGAAGAAGGCGGGACGTCGTCCTCCCTTGCCTAGCGCGCCACGGGCGACGGAAGAGTCAAGCAGGAGCAGAAGCTTGCCGTCGCCCCCTGATCGAACGGCATCTTGATGCTCAAGGGCAGCTTTGGTCTCAAGCACGTTTATGCGAGCGAAGGCCCTCCAGCCCCAGACGGCCTTGACAGACCATCCCTCGGAAAACAGGAGGTTGTTGCAGAAGACAGACTCGAGCCTTGCCTTTGGGGGGGGCTCGCAGGCACGAAGGGAAGTGATCGAACGTGCAATGACACGTGCGAAGGCCGAAGCAACACGCTGGTGGTAAATTGCACTCTTTTTCGTGATGCGACCTTCGATTCGCACATGTGCGTGTCCCCGTGGACATTTGCGGTGGATGAGGTCAAGGGATAGGAGGTGTCCAGGCAGTGCGAGTTCTTTCCTAGCGATCCAGCTCTCGCACACCCGGCAGCAAGGTCCTATGGTTGACCCCTAAATTTTGATAGGTCCCGCCCTAACACCCTCAGCGGCAACGCCACGGCCTTTGCGTGTTTTGCCCTGTTCTTGGTGGCAGTCAGGTGCCGAGTGCCAGCCCTTTTGGAACAACCTCGCCTTTCCAAAATGAGGTGGCTCAATGTTTGGCAATGGCTCAAATGCGGCAGGGCTGAAGGTAGTGCAAGGCGGCTCGAGCATTATCGAGCGGAGGCGCCTCTCGGACAGCCTCTGCGCCTGCGCGCCCCGGGGCTTGGCGACAGCAGTGTCGGTGCTCTCGGAAGTGGCATCTAACCAGTCTGCCTGCTCGGCTTCATCCTCATGGAGCTGCTGCTCCGGAGTGGCTTCATGCCTTCTCCGTGTAATGGCCTTTGAAGTCAGACGCCAACCAAAGGGCGGAGACCGATGTTGGGGGCAGACAGGCTTTGCTCAAAAAGCGCCTTACCCGGGGGAGGCGTCTGAGGCAAAGACTTTGGAAGGCGGCTCCGCGAAAACATTTGCGCAGTGGCAAAGAGCTGCAGCTCGGAAGCGGCTTGGCGAGGGAGAGCGCGGGCTTTACTTCCAAAGGCTGGCCTCACATAGGCCACAAGCTGTCGATCTCCTGGCCACCCTCCATGTCGCCAATCGTGCGCTCAGCAGTCCCGCTAGGCAAAAAAAAACCTTCTGGCGAAGGAAAATGGGATCTTCAGCTGGCCCACTTGGGCATCCGTCGGTGGGGCACCAAGTTGTGCACCCCCAAGTTGGGCACCCCCAAATTGGGCACCCCAAGTTGGGCACCCCCCAGTTGGGCAACCCAGTTTTTGCCGCCACCTCAATGAATCATTAATGCAGACGCCCATGCGAAAGACTGCACCGAAACTGCCCCCATTCTCAGCAACGTTCACAAAAAAGTGCAAGCCGCCCCCACACTCCGGCAGCACAAGGACGGAGCCCTCAATCAGGTTCCTTTTGCTTTGCACCTCAAAGCCCTCAAGCAAGTCAAAATTGGGGACCTGGCCCTCCACCCTCGTCGGGAACAACGCCTGTCAGTGCCGGCCGCAGCCAAGTCCCCGAGCATGATCTGAGTCTCCTCGGGTCCCACGCTTTGGCCTGCCAAAACTGCACAGCGGCTTGCCCAAGCCACTGTTCTCGCTCTGCCCATTGCTCCCGCACACCACTGTGGCAACGCTGGCCTGTGTCATGAATCTCCGCGGCGTCTCCCTGCCTGCGCTCCCCTTCAACCGGCTCCCCGCAAAGTGCAGCCTGCCATTGCCATCTTCCACCCCGCGCCCCGGGCCAGGAACGCGCACCGCCCATGGACTCCTGGCCCGAAGCAGCTGCCGGGATTCCAGAGATGCAGGGGGTTGAGAAAAGGGGTTCCCGGATTCCAGGGTGTTCAGGAGGCGGTCCGCGTAGCACTCGTGGGACATGTCAAAGCTATTCAACACTCCAGAAGCATGATTGCTCGAATGAATGTCTTCGCGCCACGACACATCGCGATGACCGACAACTTCATACTTTGGAGACGTAGAGGCTTTACAACGACTTGACGTCAAACAGTTCCACACAAAACAATGGTGACGACGCTGCACCAAGAAGACAAAACAATGCATCTCAAGCATTGCAAGCATCAATCATCGCCGCAAGCATCACGCAGCAAGAAAGGCGGTCCAAGGCAACACTGCAAAGTTGGCCAGCTTTCCCATATGACAGTTGGTGATGCTTCACTGATGCTGTTGATACAGAATCTGAGATGCAAGCGTGAACTTCTCAAGCCACTCCTTTCAGGGGGCTGGCGAGCGCTTAAAAACTCCCTGGACCCTCGACTGCATGGCTTAACTCAGCCAAGCCACGGTAGAAGACTCTGAAAAAGGATCCTTCGCAGAGAAAGGATCCCTTGATGAGTCGGTCTCCTTCTCAGAGAAAGGATCTTTTCCAGCAAAGGCTGACCTTGCAAGGCTCTGTGCCATGATGCATCACGCGCACATGTTCACACCCTTCCCCACTTCCAGGCCCCAGGCGATGCCGGCGGTGCAGGTGTCTCCACTGGCTCAGAAGCTGGCTGTTCATCTGTCCTCGGATCGAGATGAATCGTGAACGGCAGAGTTTGCTATAGAGGCTTTACAACGCTGTAGAGGACCGGCCCTAGCAAAACAGTCCAGCACCTGCCCATGAGAAGGATCAGAGTGCTTGCAATGAGGGCCAAGCATATACCCGGCAGCAAGCCCAACAGACATTGGCGAGGCGAGCGGAGACAGCTCCTGCGCATCAGCTGATGTGAATCTAGCAGGCAAAATCAATGCAGAGTTCACACCCAAGTGCTGCTTGTTAAGTGCAGCAGTCTCCTGTTTTTGGTGAGGGTGCCAGTCCTGCTGCGGGGTCCAAACGATTTATCAACTACAGCGCTGCGCCACACGAGCACTCAGTTCAGCAATGGTAGCACCTTGTATGCCAACGTAAGGTCATCTGTCTAGCTGTCTTGTTATACCAACTCATCAACACCTCCAATACCAAGCTGAACAGCAGAATACCCAACTACCCTGTACTAGCACCAGAATATTCAACCATGTTCAGCCAACACCGTAGGACAAACCACTTGCATGGTTTGCTCGCTACCTGTTCCTAGGTTAAAACGATAACGATAGTTGTCTCCTTTGCTTGAATTTGAACACCTCATGCGTACAGGGGAAAAAGTTGGGTTACATCATACTTCCAAGTAGCGTTGCACGTCCACCCAGCCCGCCTCGACTGAAGAGCCTCCGGTTGTGACGATCAACTTGGCGGCCTTGCATAACTAAACTAGGACCCCAAGCATACACGCACCCTAGCGAGCTCGGAGCGTCTTCGCTGGAATTTTCGCTGGCAATTACTACTTAAGTTATAGTCTACAACATTGGCTTGGAGATCACGTGCAAGTGTGAGGGGAGCAGCCTGGAACTCATCCATGGCTTCATGCTTGGAGACGGCAAAGCCCACGGACGGTCCAGATTTGTCGTAAATCGTGACCTCGCATGTGTGCATGATCCCCTTTGTACTACAAAGCCTCAGACCTCCAGGCCGTGCCCAGCTTCATGACACAGCAAGCCCCCCAGGAGACAACATCATATGCTACAGATCAGGCAGACAGGCAGAAGGAGCTAGCTCTTTCCCATGAACTCGGCCGGGTACGAATCGGCGGAGGAATGGGTCGCCGAAGATGAACAGCGGCCCCTTGTCGCCATGCAATCAATAGCCGGAGCATACGACAGCCCCACAATGATGGCATTCTCTCTCCAACAGGTAAGCAGCCCCCAGCTGCTGCATTAACCCTGAGGCAAATACTGGGAAATCCGAATTCGGAGCTGTGCTTTCTACTTGTGAGGCTCAAGGATATCGCCCGATCCTCCTGACACTTTGTCCTTGTGAAAACCACCTGTTTGGCCTTCTTATAGAATCTTTGGGAACAAACATCGGAAAGTCAGCCTCTTACTTCCTCGGCTGAAAACGGGCGGAAGTCCTTGACATGCTCAGCGTGGTGCCAGCACTTGTCCCTTTAGGCAACTTTGCTTTACATGCCAGCAGATAACAGATAAAGCTCACCAACCACGACATCACCCTACAATTAGCTCAACATCTGGTGCCGACATTGTACCTTCCTACACCCCAAATCCCCGTGGTTCTGTCTCTTAGGCCCAGGCTCGAGGAGGCGGGACATCTAGGGGCATCAGTGAGAAGCTGCAGCCTGTCTCGTCCCGGTCCTGCGGAAACTCAGAGCCTTGCCACTTGAGCATATGATGCATGTTACAGGAGTCGCAAGCTGTTACTACTTGCTTCCTTTGATACATGTGCATCAATTCCACAGCCTCTTTCCGCATCATTCCTACACCATCGAACACCCAAGATTCTTGGGACTGTTGGCCCTGGCAGGAGACGCTTGCAGGCTGTCAGCACGGGTTTCATGGTACAGGCACCCAGAAGCCGCAGAAGATTTGTAAGTTTTGTGGGCTAGCTATCTGTTACTCCTAGCACCCGATCTAACATGATAGACCACAGCGAGCCTTCTGCCCGATCCTCCAATCTGCCACAGCGTACTGAGACGAGAGCCCTACAGCCACTCAGCAGCAGTTGGACACTCCAGTGCAAACGAAGTCTGCAAAGGATGTCCAGGCCCTCGCATCAGCTCTAAATCAATTCGAAATGTAAGGGGAAAACTTGCAAAGCTCGGGCAAGACCACATTATGAGGAAGCTCTCTGTGCAATCTTTCTCGGATGGCCCTTTAGTCTAGTTTGTCGAACAACGGGGAGACTCCCACCCAGAACCGATGAATGAAATTCAAGCAACTCTGCCTGAAGAAGGCGGAGCTTGGCCTGTGCACATGGGGTCCAGTCTCTCCTGCGGAACTCCAGACTGCATTCTGCAGTCTCATGGCTCGCTCTGCTTCGCGAAAGATGTTTAACAAGACCGGAGCCGACTTGACGCGCCAGCATGTCTGGCCTGCCATGTACGTGCTAAGTCGTGCTACTGCATTCTGTGGCACAAGGGCTGCCACTTCAAGCCGACTTCAGTGAACGACCATCAGGCTTAGCCAATATTTGCTGGTGCCTTGTTGTAAGGGGACCCAACAGGGTGGGTGCCCTGGAAGATTGAAATTCGACTCCAAGCTGGTCCCTGCAATTGATGTGAAAACTCACGGGGTAGCGTCATCCAATTTTCTAGGTTAGTCTTGCCACAATGGGGACCTTTGCTGCAAGTCAGAAGGAAATCTCCCGAGCCGACTCGCAGGAGAAATTCTGACTTCGTGTAAGGCAGGAGCTTCTGAAGCTTGCCCATCCAATCCAGTTGTGAAACTGTGTCTCTCTCTGAAGAGATCGAAAATCCAGAAGAACGATTGGAACTGCTGCCGCAAGCTGTGGAGCGACAGAGGTGCAGCTGTTTTCCCCCACAAGCTTAGCAGCCGTGCTAACAATGCTAGTCATTAGCACCGGCATCATGGTATCATTTATTGCGATTCTCGCGCAAAAAACCTCACTTCCGAACAGTCGGTGTCAAGCCACACAAACATTTCTCCGAACAGCTCTGCCTCTGTGATCTCAGGCAAGCACCCAAATCCAGAACTTGAAACTTCTGGCCAGTTCTGACGAACCTGCAAAGTATCAGCGGCTGCTGTTTCAGCGATTTCGGAACCTTTTTTTTCTGGCCTGTTCAGCTTGCTGTGGGATGCCCGTTCCACGAAAGCCTGTCGCAGGAACGCTACATGGAAGAGCATGTGGCTATCATCTACGTTTCCTTCATTAACATGGGCCTCGCTGTCGTTGTGCTTGGTCACCAACCACAGCTCACCTGAGGTTCCATTTGGCGTGAACCTCTGCAAACGAAATGATGAAATCAGCCCTGCCTTTGATCAAAACATCCTGAATCTCCCGCACTGACAAGCCCTGCAAGTTTGGATTGCTCAAAAGCATCGCGCCCAAACAGAGTACATGCAAACATTCGTAAATGCAAATACACATTCTTACCCCTTGTAGCTTTCAAGGCTCCTTGCTGTGATCCAATGGCTTTTCAATGTGTACAAGCGCGCAAGCGTAGGTGCAAAAAAGGTTCCAGGCCTTGATGGTGTCGATTCGCACATGCACGGACATGGCCACCGAGGCTTGCGACTGGCATGGGGCACAAAATCAGTTTTGATCTGACTTATAATCTAATAACCCCTAATACTCCCCAAGTCAACGGTGCAGTCCCACAGCAGTCGCCCAGCTCCACTGTTTTCATCTCCCATGCAAAGGGTCCGAATACGTGGCAACATTTTCCGCCGATACCTGAAAAGGCAGGCAAAGCAGACGAGCCCAGCCGATGATAGGTCGTAAGCAGCCAACCATCAGAATCAAGGAAATACGAGCGGTGTTCGTGCCCATCCTGTTCCGTGAGTCTGAGACGTTGATTAAAACTTGATTCCCGCAAGAATCCGAGCAATGCCAGAACTTGTGCAAACGTCCTGTGCAAAGAATGCAATTTCTACGGAACCCCTGAGGTAACCGGGCACCCTATCGGCACCTGAGACAATCGAGGGTTTCAGCCTGCTTCGTCGAAGGCCGGCAGCTTCAGAAGCTCGTCCAGGATGATCCAATTAGGACGCCAGTCTCCAAAGGTGTCGAGCCGAAGGTCTGCGTTGAAGCAGTGGGTGAGCTGGTCCGCCCACGTGTTCGAACATAGTTTCACATGGGAGAGCTCACAAAGGAATGCAGGCCGTGTTCTTGTGCAGTGAGCTGCACCAGCAGGGCCGAACACGGCCAACGTTTGGAAGATCTCCTGCTTGCAGAGAAGGCATTCCCCTCGTTGTCGGTGCTTACGGGGATGTTCATGTCCATGACGCTCATGGGCGAAAATTTTGCCGCCAGGATGAAAAGGATCAAAGTGCCAAGCATCTCCAGGGCTCCAACGCGACGCTTAGTCTTGGTGCGCTGAAAGAGCGCTTCCAGCCAGGGCGCCTTGGTGACCTCCACGGCAAACCACTGAACTTCATGGGTTCGGTGTGTCCGAAAACCAACCTCCAACGGTTTCTCTTGACTCTGTCTCTGCAGCATTGCTGCTGCCAAAGCATTCCTGACGCTGGCAATTGCGGAATGGTGCACATGGGCCAGCCTTGACCATGCCCGTGACGAGCTTGGAAAATGACTGGAACTCCAGGTCTGCATTTCCCTTGGATCTTCTGCTCCCACGCATAGAGTGGCTGGAGGTGTGGGCAGATTTGCGACTAAGCTTTGGAATCTGCCGAGAAGGGATGTGATTTCCTTCCTGGCGTGGAGCTCTTCATTCGCCAGCTTGTCGAGGGCTGGAAGGAGAACCTTGGGCTTATCTTCCGGCAGCCAAACCGTGAGCTTGGAAATGTCCACCACTACGCCCAAGACATCTTTGCACCAGGAGATGGGGCAACCTACCAAAGTAAAAAAACAAGGCCGGACCGTATGAGTCTCTGAGGCCTGTAGCTTTTATCAGCAGCCATGGAGTCGTCCACGAAGACAAAGATCCAAAGCAGCGCCGGCGGGAGGCGGTAACCGAAGCGCCGCCATCCTGCCGCAAGAGAGCTGGGCAGAGGCCACCCCGTAGGTGCCCACCATGTTCACCCAGAACGTTTTATTGACGGTGGCAATTATGTAGCACCAGTGCCTTCGGGTCACTTTGAGCTTACGATGTGCCTTGCTGACATCCGACTTGAGAAGAATGAGCTCAGGGGCAGCTCTTGCCACCAAGGTCAAAGCACGGATGTTGTCGACGATCGTCCTGACTTTTTTGTCGGCTTCTTGGATTCCTGCCATCGCCCCCACACATAGTTCATATGGCCAAGACCATACCCGTCGCTTCTCTTCCAAGATGTCCGGATCTTTCTCTGGACTGCTGGGTCGGTCCATTGGATCGGAAAGGCCTCACCTGTTGAGCCCGAAACCGCTGGTCAATGGCCCACTTCTTGTTCTCCTCCAATTGGCTCCTTGTCAAAACTCATCTCCATGGGGGCCAAAGTCCGCTTCATCGCTGCCAGGAGGCCTGCGCCCTGGCTGGTTGCCGCTGCCAGATTGTAATGGCTGGAGGACGCCTGGGCCAAGTCGTTAACCGCCTGCTTGTTGGGAATGAGGCCATGTTTCTGTGCTCTGCTGCCTGCGCCGCCCCTTCCTGCATTGCCTTTGGTTCACCTGAGGCAACCGGCCCGCACGCCCGTCCGCAGCTTTTGGGCCTTGTTCCGCGCCAGCCATGTGGACGTTTGCGAAGGAGAACAATCTCTAGCTCCAGCCTGCAGGACTCCCAAAGGGACCAGGGCCACCAAAGCAGCCGCCTTGAAAAAACCTCCTCCCTGACCTCCTTGTTCTCCATGTCAGGCTTCTTGAGGCCTCTGCATCTTTCATGGTCACCATTTTTTTGCCATATCCGGAGTGAAGACGACCCCATTTGTGGGAAGGTCTGCTCCTGGGTCTCATCCGGGGCATCATAGCGCTTGGCGGAGAGATCTGACGCAAAGGACAAGCCTTTGTTCGCCTGCTCCTCCATGCGGGCCCGCATCTTGTCCTCCAAGGGTGGCCATGGGTTCAACGCTTCATCTGAATTGCGCATCCACCCAAGTCATGTGCTCCACATCCGGGCGCTCGATCCAAGTGAAATCAGCGATGCCCAGCGTGGTGCGAGCGCGCAACCACCCATATCATTTTGTATAACGAGTATGGCAAGGATTATATTTCTTATTCCCTACTACTCCCGGTAAGAAATTGCGGCGCAGGGCTCACTGCTGTCTAGGCCAGGTCGCTTAGGAATGGTGGTTTAATTGGTGAGGAGCTTTACCTGCCAAGCTACCTCAAAGCTATCCACCGTGGGTTCGCTAGCAAACTAGCTGCACTCATCCAAAGGTTGCCGTGTAGGATGTGGCGTGCCCTAAATATAAAACCACCCCAGCCTAAGCACCCGAGGCAACCACCCCCCGACCAAATGGGCGCAAGACTGCTTGCTTGCCGGGGTCCAGGGGCAAGATGTCTTGTGTGATATGCAGAGCGTCCACCATGACTACGTCCTTGTCCACATGCGCGGCATCCGAAGACGCAGCGGCGGGCACCTGCAACAAATCGACGTGTGCCTTGTCAACGCGCCTGATCTTGGCAAGGTACTCAGGGCTCTCGGCCATCCAGGTGAGAAGCTCATCGCCCTCCAGCGGCCCATGTTGGATGCAAAACGACGGCAGAAGATGACTCCACCCTCCACTGGGTGACCTTTGCAAGG